CGAAGGTGTAAATCAAAGATCCGTAAATACGTTCCCATTTTATTTCAGTCCACGTACCATTCTACAGTATTATCTCTTTGTTTATAATGGTTACATATGACAAGACAACCTGAATAAGGATACAACTTAAAAAAATATCCTCAAGAGAATAAAACGTGGTCTGAAACTGGGAAACATTAGGCCTAATCTAAGGTTAGGTTAGTTGGACGATTAAGAAACCCGTTAAGAAAACTCTTTCCAACCTTTCCTCCAGATCGTTGCCTTATTATACTTAATTGTATCATCACTCTATAATCCCATATAAGCAACTATTGTATTATTTTCAAATTTACTTTCCTGTCCAAATTAAAGATTAATTTGGATCGTTTACATTCACATTCAGGGATGCTATAATTAATCTGCAATAGGACTACATGTCTGTCCAATTTGGAAATAACTGCATAATTCCAAAAAATTCCTGACTGCCAAAGTGGACTCGGCCTATCGGCCTCTTCCAATTTTGTCAGTCCTCGGAATTTTCTCATCCAATTATTTCCAAATTGGATAGTATGTAGTCCTATTACCTATAATTGTTGTGCATCACTGATATCATCAAAAACATGTCAGTGTTTTACCTGTATTATTCTAAGCTTGGTATCAAAATCTTGATCTTCTACGGGAACGAGTACAATTTTTTGGCATTTTTCTGCTAAATTATCGATGGCCAGTTTAATTCTTCCTAGGATTTCACTCTGTGGAGCCAGCAAAACTAAGAATTAGAACTGTTTTCATGCTTCTGTGAGCTCCATTATAATTGTCATCATTGGGCAWTCCCATAAAGCACGATAACAAAACATTAATATTAGAAGTCATTAGTGAAGACGTGTGACAAGAAGTGCGGTTCACAATGGCAGTGTTCGTAAGCACTCCTAAATTTCTTCTTTTTTTTCTTCAACTGAGTTACTGCACCTGCTGTCTGATGATTGCCTTTCGATTTACAAGATGTTGCTCTAGCTCAACATTTTTCTGCATCGTATCTTCAAGCTTCTCTTGGAGGCAAGCTAGTTCACTGTTCATCAACTAAAGGCAAAGGTACMATTTATTTAATCAATACAAAAAAGGATAGATTATTTAGTTTTGATATTAATCTAGACTTCAATACAGAGCTTCTTGAGATGTGATTGGTCGAACGACCGGTGATTCTGAGACGACAATCAACGCTGAAGCAGTGATCATGAATTTTTCCAAAGTTTTCCAGATCGGAAGTAATACTAAAAAAAATATTCAAATCTAAAATGATATTCAAATCTAAAATGATATTCAAATCTAAAATGATATTCAAATCTAAAATGATACCAAAACAATTATTCCCCTCAGGCTGAATGGTGATATTAACCTGTAAATATTCCACCGATAATCACTTCGCCTTTGACAAATAATTGTTAAATAATGAGCGAACAAAAATTGTTCTTCTAGAGAGGAGATAAGTCAGGTGGCCTGAAACAAGAAACGACAAAACTTTTTTTCTTACCACAAGATTCTGTGTGTGTGATTGGTTCATGTCTGATAGTTTTTGTTGAGAACTCTCTATCTGCAAATTGAAAAAAWAACAACAAAAGTACAGTCTGTTATCATATACTTGTTTTAACTTGCAGCTGGGCTAGTATAGTTACAGGGATCTGTTTTATTTTTGTACACTGCATGATACTTTCACAGGTACCACAGCCTACTGTTATTATTTGCAACATTATCATATTCAGGTTATTCGTCTCATACTACAGCTTACTGGTAACAGGGACATGTTAAATGTTGGACACTTAGGGAGTGGTCATAAACTACAGGTGTGGGGGGTGCTGGGGATGATGGGAGTTGGCCGGAAAAATCAGAACTATCAATAAACAAATATTAGTGGCCAACCATTTAGTCCATGCCATGATTAAAAGTAACCCATCCCCCATATAGCTAAAAGCATATGGGAAACCTTGAATAAAGGAGACAGAGAAGTCGTGTTGTCACTCCTCCTCTGGGCCTCCTAGTAGTGTCTGAAATTCACACACTGAAGCTAACACACTAGACACATTTTAGTTCAACTTAGCATGTTTTTACAGCTATTGCTGCAGATTCTATTCAAATGGTTGTAATATAGTAATTATTAATAATGTCCATTGCAAATGCTTATTGCTGTGAGTTCAACTTTTACATCCTTTTTTTTYCACGAGGGTAGCACTTAATAGCCAGTGGCTAACAAAACTGTGGCCCTCATTCAGTGATCGAATTGGAATTTAGGAGTTGATTTTTGTGGAGGGAGGAAAACTGGAGAAGCCGGAAAACCCTCAAAGCACAGGAGAGAACCAACAAACAACTATCTACTCAGATACGACACCAAACCCAGGGAGACTCGAACTCGGGTTGCATTGATGAGAGGCAAGCGCTCACACYGCTACGCCAGCCGTGCTTCCCTTTAAACAAACTTGATGCAAAGGGAATCATTTCAATGTAATAATAACATACAGAATATTACAGGAATCTCAATCCTACTATACCTCATCAGCTCTGTCTGTTAACATTTGAACCAATGTCTGATTAGTTGCACTAAGTGTCTTAAATCTCATCATTATTCCCATTATCATTGAGTCACTTGTTTCTAAATAATCTGGACAAAGAAGTGAGTAGTTTAATAAGGTTAATATCATAACAAATGAATTTAAAAATTCAAGATAAAAACTGCCAATTAATGATAATTAATCGTTGTCTTTTTTTTATTTGTTTAGGTCTACATCTATATATCTAGAGGACCTAGGTGACCTGCCCTGCCCTGCCCTTCCGAAACCAAAACAGATGGCACTAGCAGCAAACCTATTCYGGCAGAAATTGCGGCCAGATGAACCACAAGACCTGTCATTCATTCTGGAAGAGGAACCGCACATCCCCGAGGGTTTCTTACTGGGTGACATCAAAGCCAGTGGTCGTCGGCACCTTGTCTTTGCTTCTGACAAGCAACTTACTTACTTGTCAAAGGCAAAGACGTGGTATATAGACGGAACATTCAAAGTATGCAGAAAACCATTCGTCCAGCTGCTGTCGATTAATGCGTTCGTGCAAAACAGAACTACGTAAGCAGAACCACAAAGTTTAATTTAAGTTGTACTGTGGTTATTTATTCACTTTGCTATTCTATAATGAAATCATGCAGTTATTGGAGGTCAAACGCATTGTCTAGTATTGTTGACAATGGCAAAAGATTACTTGATAATCTATCTTTAAATAGGCAGATGAAAAGACAAAATTAATTAAATTTTTGAAAGTCTCACAAAAATTGCTAATTCAGACRCACTCTAAGAAAGCCTGAGTTCACGCAGTTATGCGTCTAATTATACTCACTAAGCAAGACATTATATAAATGTTGTGACTTACCCTCTGGAACAACATCAAGGACTTTCAGGAGAAATTTTTCATAGACAGAATACTTGGCCATTTTTCTCTCCAATCTTGCTTTTCTATCAAAGAGTTGAGGCAATTTTAATCAACCACAATATTATTGCATAAAAAAATTGCCTAAAAAAAATGAAAAACAAGTCCAATTGAGCAATATGTAAAAACTTTTTTGAGAGTATACAGACTGCAGTGGCATGCAAATTATTGATGTACATTTAGAAAAAAAATGATGTGTGGTTTCAATAAATAAATTGGAATATATTAGCTTCAACAAGGACTGCAGACCAACCTAGAAATTGGGGACAAAGACTGCAAAATAGGAGACTAGTATTGGAAAAGGAAAAAATTGGGTGGGGGGGGGGGGGTGGGCTACATCCCCCTCCCCTATCTCTGCAGCCCCATTTTCAAAGATCCATATTCCTTAGTTTAATCAGAAGTTGTGACTGTGACTTATAATTATAGCAAAATTTGGTCAGAAATTCAAGTCAGGTTTACAGTTAAACTAAGAAAACCATAAACACCTAAAATATGTCTGGAATGGTACATACTGTAAGTATCATGTTCTGACCAATCGTACGTGAGAATTAATTCATTTTTAATTAAGACTCAAATGTGATTGGTCAGAAGACCATAATTAATGATCCAGACATATATTTTAGGTGAAAGTTTTCTTAATTTGACTGTAATCACATATCAAATTATCATGATGACAATCATGGTGGTAATGATCATGCATCACATCAATTACATATTACAGTGCTGTATATAATTTGTTTTACCAAAATAATAMAATAAAATAATAATTCAATAACATACTTTGCCTTCAGAATTTCTAGTTCATTAGAAAGTATGTCTTGCTCGCTTGCTTTTTGTTCTTTAAGCTTCAGCTCTGTTTGATACTTCTGTATTGCCCTCCTTCTTTTTGCCTCATTTTCTTTGATGAACTTCTCAAACTTTCCAACTCTTTCTCTTATCTATTAAATAAAAATAATTGTTGCAGCAATAAAAGTGTTTCAATCACTTTTATTTTACAGCACAAAATTATACAATGATTTGCAGCTTGTGAGAAAGCACCGTTACAATTATAAACTTTTAGTCATGGATTGATTTTTTATTATTTTCATATCAAACAACTTTAACATATTTAGAAAACAAATTTTTTTAAAGGCATCACAATGCAGTGAATTGAATGGAAATACTTTACTACAGTGATTTTACCCTTGAAAAAATACATAGTATGTACAATAAGTAGTAGTAGACTCTAAACCTATTGTTTTCTTTTGTTTGCCTTATCAACAAGTACTAACTAAATAGTCATTTTCCTTTCACAGGTTAAATAAAATCCCTCTAACATCCACCAAAATCCCCTTTTGTTGCAACAGTAAAATCGCACAAATTTGTGCATGTAATTGGGAATTTTACTGTATATGCACTAACAGAAAATTATATCAATAGTGACATCCTGTTTGTGCTTTTGCCTCCCACTTCTGTAGTGTTTGTGGGTTTAAATTCCGAATTTGCTAATTGGAGAGGTATTTTCATTGAGTTCTAAAACCTAATTAAGTAATCAAGCTAAATTCTAATTTGCTCTAATTGAAGGTTGTTAAAATGCTAGTCAGGGAATGAGACATCAAACTTTTAAGGGTCAAAATTCAACCATAATGGTAGTACTGTAAGTGGATCAAATTTTTAAAGGGTGTGAAATATGTTTCAAATTAAATAAATAAAGTTAAGTAATATAAACCTGTAGTTGTTTTTTCTTTAGTTCCTCTTCCTTAATTTGACAAGCAGCCATACGGTCAGCAAACTGCCTTCTTTTTATCTCCAGGTCTTCATGGACTTTTTCAACTTCAACTTGTTTTTTGAGGAGTAAGGTTGATTGGAAGGTGTTGAGACCAGTGTCAAGTAACCTGCCAGATGTCTAAATTAAACACACATAATTGTTACAATACAGACCATACTCTCCAAAGCACAAAATATACATGTGTATAGAAAGTATCATAAATAGATACAAAGGGAATCGATAGAAGTTTACAGCAATGGAGCTAAAGCAGCGGTATAGTGTATAAAATCATTTTTTTAAACAATTTTTCACTTGTACATTAGTATAATTATAAGTAAATATGTTTCATAATATGCAAGGAAAATCCGTCTATCTCGCATAAAAAGAGCAAAAATGGATGCCGAGAGAGATATATAAGACAAAACTGAAAATTCATTGTCACTCTAAGAGATTTGTAAATATCAAAGAAGTAAGTTTGAACGACAGAGTTTAATTACAAAATAAACGGCACATAGTTGAATTAAAATAACCAGTCGAATGCTGGCGCAATAATGCCGTCAAAAGCTATTAAGAACAACGATTATCGCTTGACTCAAAAAAGTTGATATTGCCAACATGAAAATGGAAAGGATAAAATCACTTCACTACTCAACTGTTTTCATTTATCATAGTAACTCAACAGAACGACTCTATTAAAAAAACGATGTTCGATACACGAATGGACAACACGTAAAATATTATATACCTCTTCAACGATGGGAAATTTTCGAACTTTGATATCTTCTTCATCCTCTTCTCTGTAAAGAAATAATATTCAAGATAACGAGCAAAACATTAAAGCTTAATAAGAGATCTCTTGGACAAGTAATATTTCAGCTACTTCAAATCGAGTCAATAAACGAACAAGCTCACAAACTTCATCCCAAATGAACAGTTTCTGTGATCTTACCTCAGTTGTGTGACAAAGACGTTTTCTTTTTGATCCTCTAACTCAAGCTTATATTTTCCAATAGTTTCCATGATGTGTTTATAAAAATCGAAAGATTTGGTAAGCGCCGTACGRGGGATATCAAAAAGCCATATAACAAGAAAACCAATAAACTGTTTGGAACGCATTCGAGAGTGATAATGTTGCTATAGAAACGCTGTTTGGAACACTCGTCAAGCAAGTTAGCGGGCTTCCTGTGGCATTTGCTAACTTTCAAAAAAACGATTTTTTCCCGTGCACTTCTCCTTTCCTATTATTTTATTTTTTTTACTAAATCTGGAAAAGTAAGCGAAATATTGATTTCGACCTTGCATATCAAGATTCTCCTGCATGTACCGAAGTAATGCTACCACTAATGCAGCCTAATCCTGTTTTTTTTGTTCCAAGGGAAATTTTTTTCATTTTCAAATCTAAAATTATGGTTTGCTTACATTAGTAAAACTTGGCCCGAACTGTAAAATACTGGTCATTATAAACCAGTGAATCTGCTAAGGCAAATATCCTTCCATTCATAATCCTTCAACTCATAAGTCCAAATCTCACTTTTACGGCATTGATTACATATAAAATATTGGCAGGAAAAGTAAAATAAAGAAATAGACATTGCCATTTTCCTCTCACCCCAAACTCTTTTTCCTTCTAGTTATAAATTCCCCTCCCCACATAAATTAAGAGCATACCCTCTTATTGACCCATCAAAAAAAAAACCATACGGATTATTTTAAGCCAAGGTCTTACTAGTATAACCAGGATTTTATGGTATTTGTATCGGTAATAACTGTTTGAGAAGAATTAATAAAAAAATATTATCACATGAATAATTTTCATGACAGTGGATTTACACCACAAGTGTATAACACTAGTTGCATTAAGCAACTTTCATCAAATGCAAGTGGTATTTTTCATTAATTTTTTGAGAACTAATGAGATATTTAATTTCCTATTAATAATACATTACAAAAAAATATACATTTCTGTTGTACAAAATGAGAAAAAATAATTTTGAGTTAAGCAAGTACAAATTCTATAAAGTTTTGCATTTCAATCAAACACACAGTAAACATTTTCTGTTTGTGTCCAATGAATATGTGTGCGCTCTGCAAKTAATTATTAAGAAAAGAATCAATGCCCAATCAACCAATAAGAAACTAGTATTTTATGTATGAWTTTTTTTATAATTATAGCACTAATTCAAGCTCTGATTTCTTTGAATAGGGTTTCCAGCAAAATTTGCATTATCACCAATATCCCTCACTACAGATCCATTTCTCAGACTGCCTTGATCAAGTGCATCATTGCAAGGCTACATGTGAATATACTCTTGGTTGTACAAAATGTAAAAGCCATTCTCGGGAAGTGTTGTCTTTGAAAGCCAACTGAAGAATACAAATTGATATACCATTTTATAAACAAAAGGTTCAGAAAAAAACGTCTCAAAAATGCTCTTACTGTATATTTAGGGCCAGTGCTTTTATAAATGTAGCCTGGCTATGATACACTTAGAAATGGGCTGTTATTATACTTTGTCACGCATCCACATTGCAAGTTTTTTAGACGGATGTTAAGTGCACATTACTGATTTTTCATATATAAAATATTCTGTCAAATATCTGATGTTGGCTTTTTTGTATTACTTCTAACCAATACTAGATTAATTTTTGGGATTCCTTGATCTTTCCTTGTTTATTTCATCCTCACTTGGTTCAAAAGGGTCTTTCCTTCCCATCTGGTTATGATAAGAAACAACAATTAATTTAATTCATAAAAGGGAGGCAGCAAGAACTATACATAAATTATGCTCCTCTCTTTCCTCCGAACCTTTGTACTTCATACTCATCAGTATGTATCCCATAACAATTTTGTTTGCACACTAAAATGCTTTCACTCTCTTACTGTACTTCCCCTATTACTGCTTGAGTCCAAATACCTGTRTTTTAAATAGTTTTCTCAGATTTTTTGTGATCCTATACTTAAAATTGGAATAATTATAAACTTTCAGAACAAGGAATTATAAATTAAAGTTATGAAAAAGCAAGAATCAATGTGAATTCATCTTTCATTGGGAATGTCAAGATCCTGCTCTTACGAAAACTGATGATGACAATTTTTTGAAATTTATTGATGCCCCCCACACTTTCTTCCACATTAAGAGGAATTTTCAATAGCAACAACTTATAATTAAGAGGTACCTTYGAAAAATTTTCAAGAAAGCCTTCAAGTTTTTCTATGTATTCTCCCTTTTTGAAAAGATCTTCGGGTTTTACTGAAATAAAATTATCAGGGTTAAGAGTTTCAACATGACAAGTGATAAGTTACGTTGCTGAGATAAAATCACATACCTCTTGCATCTCCACCAGTTTTGTGGGTATATACCATAGCTAGCTGGGTGGTAAATATCAAACCACACATCCCATATAATAAGTATGAGTTGTACTTATGAAGTATTAACCTTACGTTCATCCATCTACCCATATTCAATGCATCAAACCGGCGGCCATGTTTTCTTGCATTGGACGTTGTGGGCTGGATCTAGGCACAGGAAGACCAACCTTTTTTTAAACTTTATTTCTTTCTTTTATTCTTTTATTTTTATTTTTTTTATTTTTTTCGAGGTAACATAATAAACCTCTCAGTTATCTAACTTATGGCCCTCGAAAACGAAAAGTAAAAGTTATAACATGAAAAAATATAAGGAACTATGCGATGTAACACTAACAAACAAAAAATAGCAAAAAAACCTGTATTATATGGTTTAGATTGAATTCTATTGCAAAAAAAAAAACACCGTACTTTTTGAGTTGAATGTATTGGTTGTATTTTACAAGAGAAAATGTGTGACATAAACGGGGTCGGGCTATAATATCGTCTCTCTTTGAAATAAACAGAACTTGTCAAAAAAACAGAAGTGGAATCGTACGCCCCGCGCTTTCCTGAACATTTTGGTATATAATTCATAGGAATTTGTTAAAATTTAGAACCGTATTTTCGATTTTTTAAGTTCATACTATTCTTCGTTTGCACGTGACGTCATAGTCCCAAAAAATAACAACTTCAAATTAATTATGAATGCTATAGACTTATTTCTTTTAAAGCACAACCTTTTGCTTTGGAAAGAGAGGAAAGAGACCGAAAAGAGCAAATATTCCAAATGTATGGACAATTTTTTCCAGTGATACTTATTTTAACGAAATTYGCTTCCACATACCTCTGGTGACCCCATCCTACCTACATCTGGTGGACCCACATCTCGTGGACCCATGCACACGCATCTGGTGGCCCCTTGGCCATAACGCCTCAACGAGGCCTGCTGTGGTAACGAAACTTGGTAGCATTGGTGAGACTTGTGTTGTCAATCATCTGACATCGCGACATGACTTGACTTCACATATCACGTGACTTATGGACCAAACATTTTCGCCGATTTTTGCGAATACTCATTACAATAAATGCTTTGGTAACAAAACCTGGTCTGAAATGGTTAAACCATGTGATGGAGTCATCTGACCACGTGACATKGCGTGACGTCACATACCACGAGGCTTAACAACCAAACATTATCGCCAATTTTGGTATATAATCATGAAGTATTCATAGAACTTATGTTAACCGGACTCGCTTCCACATACCTCTGGTGATCCCATCCTACCTACGTATGCTGGTCCACATCTCGTTGACCCATGCACACGCATCTGGTGGCCCCTTGGCCATAACGCCTGAACGAAGCAACCATGGTAACGAACGAAACTTGGTAGCATTGGTGAGACTTGTGTTGTCAATCATCTGAATACGTGACAAGGCATTCCACATACCACGTGACTTAGAAGAACAAAACTACTGTCATACTCATAACGAGCTAGAGTAAATTATTGTTTTATTGGTGCTTACTTTATTCACTTTTATTTAGAAAGATTGGTGATCTTAATAAAATGAGATTAAAGAAAGAAGTTCTTTTTTTCATAACACATATATTTAGACTGAAGAATATCGATAATATTTATTAATACCGCTATAGATTTAATAAAATTCAATAAAATGGAATATTCATTGATTTCAGTAAATGAAATTTAAGTGTTTATAAAATTAAACGTCCCTTAATATAAAACTGCAGGTTTGAGACGGACCGAAAGGTTATGTTTGAATGGTCATGATCAAAGCCTGATTGATCGCAATTAGCATCGTAAAAACTACCCAATATGTTTTTGACTGGAACCATTTCAGTAATTTTGATTTCGACTATTTATTCACTAAACTGTCGTCAAATCTTCTGGTGCTTCACTTCTTGCGAGAACATTTTCCTTGAAATCTCTTAGTACAATCGGAATCAACTACCGGCGGCTCCACCAGCTATCCGGCTCCCCATCCCATTTCATCTGGTAGCCGTTTGCAATCTTCTTTTACTTGGCTGATGATTTTGTTCTATTCACCCTCTCTTTCCAAGCTGTCAACGAATGCCAACAGTCGGTTCAAGGTTCTTTAAAGTACTGAATATTCCTTCGTTTAATGACATGATTACATACAATAGTTCGTTACACTCCTAGTCCTTAGTACTTAGTCTTTGATTAGATTTCTCATTTTCATTATATATCTTATTATATTTATATATTTTTTCTTTGTTCATGTATCATTATAATTAGTTATAATGTAATTGTAAATTAGGTATGATCCCATATTGGGAACCTGATAAAGTTATTGTGTTGTATTGTAAGTCATGTGATATGTGACGTCAGTCATGTGACGTGGTCAGATGATTGACAACACGAGTCATCCTTTCTGCAAAGCTTATTTACCATAAGACGCAATGTAATGACTATTGGCGCGAGGAAGGTCGGCGAAAACGGTATGATTCGCAAGTCAGGTGATATGTGACGTCACGTCACGTCACGTGGTCAGATAACTGGCAACACAAGTTTCACCAAATGCAACAAGTTTCGTTACCGTGGGATTCATTATAATAAGTATTCGCAAAAATCGGAGGAAATGTTTGGTTCGGTAGTCACGTGACATGTGACGTCACGCCATGTCGCTATGTCAGATGATTGACAGCACAAGTCTCATCAATGCTACCAAGTTTCGTTACCATAGCATACCTCGTTAAGGCGTTATGGCCAAGGGGCCACCAGATGCGTGTGCATGGGCCAGGAGATGCTGGTCCACCAGATGTAGATAGGATGGGGACACCAGAGGTATGTGCAAGCGAATATTAATTTTGTTAAATAAAATAAATGTTATTTCATTTGATGAAATAGCTTGAAATGATAACATGTAATTGTTCGTCAGTCAAAACTAATATGGCAATAATCGGCATTAAAACCCACTTGATATGTGACGTCAAGTCATGTCACGTGGTCTGATGACTGACAACACAAGACTCACCCATCGTACCAAGTTTCGTTACCATAGCATTCATTGTAATGAGTTTTCGCAAAAATCGGCGAAAATCTTTTGTTCGTAAGTCACGTGATATGTGACGTCACGCCATGTCACGTGGTCTGATGATGGACAACACAAGTCTCACCAATGCTACCAACTTTCGTTACCATAGCTTGCTTCGTTCCCGAGTTATATATGGTCAAGGGRCCACCAGATGCGTGTGGGGCCAGGAGATGCGGGCCAGCAGATGTAGGTGGCACGTGCTAGTGCAGTTTTCGTATGACTGTGAAAAATTCACGGTACGACCGTGACGGTCGTAACACAGCAAGGGATACACCAGACCAATCACATTGCACTTGAATTTACTCTCCATCCAATAAAATACCCGGAACACGGCGTAAACACGGCGCGGACGACAAGGTCACGCCAAGATCACGTCACTTTTAGACCAATCATATTGCGCGCGTGAAAAAAAATCAGCCAATCAAAATCCTATAAAGTATCACGGTCATGGCACGTCACCCTATCCCAGACTAAAAGATGGAAAATACGGTTTTACAATCGATTGCAATCAATATTTACTAACATTTTTATTGTTTTTGGTTGGCAGAAAGCGTAGCCTATTCGCCAGACAAAAACGACCAAATCGTTAACCCTATCCCA